AGCATCTGTGGTTTCGTTTCAGCGTGTGCTGGTCTGGCGTCTGTGAACGTCTATTGTGATCACCTCCTGTCGGCAGCAGCGTGAAGTCTTGCTTTTCCCACTTAACATAATGTCGTCGTCCTGATTTGCTGCGGTCAAACACTCTGAAAAGCGACCTGGGGGAGGAAGGCTGTCACAGGTTACAGTCCGCCATGGGGAGAAGTCGAGGGAAGAGCCAAGAAGCTGGACCTGCAGCGAGGTCACTGGCTGGCTCCCCTGACTCACACAGCCCACGCTGGGCTGGGCCCTCCTACCTCACGGGCACCATGGAAGAGTCCATAGGCCAGCCTGATGGATTCTCCAGCGGAGGTTTCCTTCCCCAGGTGTGCCACGAAGGCAACCTCGATTAGCCGTCACGGTTCCGGCCGCCTCGTGGGGTATCAGAACTCTGTTATTCGTTATGCTGAGTAAGAGCCTGTCACTGGGTCACTGATGGGTGTTTACACTGTCCCGACTCCTGACCACTATGCATGTGCAGGAGCACAGGCGTGCGAACCTGAGCTCTTGTGACCTGTCTGAACTGGTGGATTCCGAGGCAGGCTTATGAATGGGGTTTGGGCCTATTTATCTATTTATTATTCATTTAGTCATTTGTTCATTATTCAGTCATTTATTTATTCATTCATTTCTTCATTTGTTCATTCATTTCATTCATTCATCCATTCATTCATTTTGAGGACTCTCTACCTTGTTTTCCACAAAGGTTGTGTCACTTGACTTTCCCACCAACGGTGTCAGAGGGTTCTGTTTTCCCCAGACCCTCACACACGCTTGTTTCCTGGGAGTTCACGCTTGTTTGGTTTCGATAACAGCCTTCACACGGGGCATGAAGTCGAGGTTTGGCTGAGGAGCGGAGGCCCCAAAGCACGTTCACAGCACGCTCACTGCTTTGGAGTTCTGTAGCCCCCAGTCTGCGGGCCCCGCCTGGGCTTGTGCCCTGTAGCACCAAGGTTGGCACTGGAGTGGGGCCTCCCTGGATTCCATGAGACTTAAGCAAGGTGGCTGATTCAACTAAAGGAAAAGCATGGAGGAAACAGAGGCCTCTGTGTGACGTTGGGAGACCAGAGCCCCAGGGGAAACCAGCATCCTCTCCCTAGGGCAGGAATAGTGTCATCCGTGGAACCAGGGAGCCAGCCGCCCGCTCGCTCTCCTCCTCTCCTCGTCTCTTTCCCTGCCCGCCCCACCCTGCTTTCCACCTGCACCATCCCTTTGTCCTTCTCCCCTTCTCTCCCTTCTCCACTCCCTCTCCCCACCTCTCCGCCTCCCTCTCACACACACCCTTTTCCCTTCAGGTTCCAAAACCAATATAGTGGTAGAAGCCATCTTAGTTGAAAACGTCCTAAATCCATAGGTGGTTCTGTTCTGCTGGGTTTCTCTCACATTTAAAAACAAACTGTGGGCAAAGTTTAATGGGCTGGAGCGCACCTGTAACCCCAGCACGACAGAGGCAGAGACAGGTGGATCTCTGTGAGTTCAAGGCCAGCCAGGACTATACAGTAAGAGACCCTGTCTCAGAATCAAAACAAAACAAAAGCAGTAGAAGCCATCATAGCTCCTGGTGGATTCTGGGAACTCCTGTAGGAATAGAGCCTCATAGCTTGGCCTAGGCTCTGCTCAGGGTAGTGCCTGCCAAGCCTCCAGCTGACTCTCTACAGGGTGGCTGTGCCTCTTGTGCCTGGAAAGGAGGGAGACTACCTCCTCTTAGGGAGGAGGGAGACTGCCTTCCCTTAGGAAGGAGGAACACTGTCTTCCCTTAGGGAGGAGGGAGACTGTCTTCCCTTAAGGAGGAGGGAGACTGTCTTCCCTTAGGGAGGAGGGAGACTGCCTTCCCTTAGGGAGGAGGGACACTGTCTTCCCTTAGGGAGGAGGGAGACTGTCTTCTCTTAGGGAGGAGGGAGACTGCCTTCTCTTAGGGAGGAGGGAGACTGCCTTCTCTTAGGGAGGAGGGAGACTGTCTTCCCTGAGGCAGGAGGGTGGTTCACATCACTTCCCAGAAGGAGCTGTGGATCTTCCTTGCATGTTTGTATAAAGGCATGTGTGGTCATATACATACATGTCATTTAATGTGTCTTAATTTTTATACACCTGACATCTTGTCCTGTTACTTGCCTTCTCCCAGCTAACTTTTAGCACATATAAATCTACTTCATTCATTTTATTTATTTTAAGATGAGATGTTTTTATTTTATTTTATGTATGGGTATTCTCCCCGTATGTAACATAGGTGCGCCTGTGTGCCTGTGTGCACAGAGGCCAGAAGCGGGTGTTGGATCCCTGGGACCTGAGTTAGGACCTGCTGTGAGCTGTGGTGGGGGTGCTGGGAGCCAGGCCTGGATCCTCTGAGTTTGGACCTGCTGTGAGCCGTGGTGGGGGTTCTGGGAGTCGAGCCTGGATCCTCTGGGAGAGCATCCAGTACTCCTAACAGATGAAGCATCTCCAGGCTCTGTACTTCATGCACTTTAAAGATTTAGCTTTTATTTGTATTTATGGGCCAGGATCTGCGAATGTGATGCCACACACGTGCAGGTGGCCTCAGAGGCTAGGGAGGGCATCGGGTCCCTGAGCTGGAGTTCCAGGGGGTTGTTAGCTGCCTGGCCGGGGCGCTGGGAACCAAGTCTGCTGCAACCACCCAAGCCATTTGCCTCATTCATGTGGTGAATATTATCCCGTTAGATGGCTGTTCCATTGCCGTGTGTGTCAACTACTGTGTCAATCATGGCCGTATCTCCTAGTCAGAATATAATCATCTGAAGGACGTAGCTGTCTGTCTTCCTGTGTTCTCAGGCAATAGCCCTGTACAAAGTAAAAAATCAGCCAGCAGTGGCTGAAGGAAAGCCTTTATGAAGGTCAGCCTCTCCCTGACCCCATAAAGCTCTCTCTTCACCTCTGCCTCCTCAACAATGGTGCTGGGCGTGGCGGGATGCATCTTCTCCATCTCCTGAGTGAGCCTTTAACTCAGCACTCCGCTCCCTTCGAAGCTACGCACCATCTCTCTGTACAGATCCCACGGGAGCATCTGGGCAGGGTCATTAACAGCCAGCACTTCCCGGAGAACAGCTTCAAGAGTTACTAATAGTGCTCGCAGACTGTTGAGTTGGGACACAGCCATATGCCCGACACACTCATCCTAATCCTTGCCAGGTTTTTCCGAGCAGTTAAAACTACGTCAAGTAGATTACAACTGAACCTATTCTAGACCCTTCGGTTGGGAGAAATTACTTCAATATGGGGCTATCAGCCCAAACGGGCTGGCTGATTTTAAGGCTGGGGTGAGCTTTGAGGGGCAGCTCCTTTCCAGGCAGATGTTCCATCTGCTGATAACACTGAGGACAGCCATCTCAGGTCTCCGTGTGGCTCCTTGTACTCGTGAATCTCCCCAGCTTCCTGCAGCAATCAAAAAGTTACCATGTGCAGGAGTGAAGGAAAGAAACACATGGCTTCCAGCTGCACCCACGTCAGGGAGGATGCTCCCAGATGAGAGGAAACGGGCTCAATGAGAGGAGATCAAGATACGGAAAAGAAGCGAAAATTAGCTGTATCTCTATAGCGCACTCGGGGAGATTTTAGTCAATCGCTTTCATTACTATCGATTGTGAAAATTATGTCCTGGACTACTAAGAAACCTAGAACTGAACCGGGGAACCAGGACACCCACACACAGAAGCTGGGCAGTAATGCAAGGCGACGGGGGTTGAGGTTAGGTGGACATTGAGTGTGGAACTGTCAGTGAGAGAGCTAGGCTCCAGGAGCACCCTGGTCATGCCTGCTCACGCGTGGAGACAAGCAGTTCTTGCTGGGGCTTCAGCCTGTACCCCTTTAGCAGCCTGAAGCTTTGGTGTCTCCACCCACTGGGCTTGGAGGCTCCTCTCCTGGGGTCTCCCTGTGTCTTTACCATCCTCCCTCCCTCGGCACAGCTATGGCGGAGTTTGCTTTCTCCTCTCATCTGCCCACCCCCATCACCCCACTCTAATTTGCCCAGAAAAGTGCCGCTGCAAACAGATAAAAAGGAATCAAGTGAAAACCTACTGTGAGAATATAAATGTAATGTAAAGATGGTATGTGAGTCTCCAGAATGAGCTCCCTTCCCAGGACCTATGAGGAAGCCAGTCTAGCCAGGTCCGAAAAGGAGCTAGAAGAGGGAGCCAGAGGTCAGCAGAGTCTGAAGGATCTCAATGGACCTATTTATTTATTTATTTATTTATTTATTTATTTATTTATTTATATACTTTTTATTATTTTTTCATTCATTTGTTTTCCTTCTGCTTGCCTGCTTGTGTCTGGATGCCTTGCATCTGGACACGTCTTAAGGAGTCAGCCTGGGCCTGGAGAAACGGCTCAGTGGTTACGAGCCAGCCTGACTCCTGAGCAGCACGCATTTTACAGCTTGCTGTTCTGACAAGTTCAAAGGCTAGGCTGGCATCCTAAAGGTTAAAACATAAATGTCTCTAACCCCTCACAAATAAATGAAACATTAAAAATCAAAAGAATGTTCTTAAGCAGGCTGGAGCCAGCTTGCTCAGTGTTACCAAGAAAGCCACGTGCTACCCTGCCCTGTAACTAGTGGCCCGAGCCCCTGGGTGGGTACTGCAGCAAATATTTCTGCTGCCCCGCCCCCCCTCCACTATTGGATCACAGGGCCTTGCACCTTGGGGTTCGGCCACTCGGCATTTTCTTCCAGGGAGAGTTTCTTTGCAGAATGCAGCAACTGGCAATGATAGATAGGTGGACTCCTGGCAATAATGGCTTCTGTCCCCTCGAAGAGGAGGGGGGGGGGGGGGGGGGGGGAGGTGCCATCCCTGCCCTCCGAACTTCAGGCAACTGTTCCTGGACGTTGACGGCCTGGCCCATTTCAGCTTCTCACGTGTCACCTTTCCAGGCTCTGCTGGGCCCAGCCATCTGGACAAGAGCCAAGAAGCCAAAGGCTGTCGAAGCCACGGTCTCCGCTCTTCCGCTGACACCAGCGACCACCCAGCCCAGCCTAGCCACATGGCCTCCTGCTTGCCTGATGTATGAGGTGGGTAGCAAGCTTCCCCTCAGAAGAGGACGCTGAGGGATTAATTACTTAAAATCCATAAGCATGTATCATTATAATTCTTGTTCCAGTTTCTACTCAAAGCTGAAGTGGCCAAAAGGGGGGAAAAGTAGCGAGCCAGTGTTCCCTCTGAAGGCGGCTGCCGCTGCCTTTTCCAGTCTGGTGAGAGGCTGTCCCTGGAGCCCCGTGTTTGTTTGACATGGAGCCATGGTTGGCACATTTGAGAATGAGGAAGCCAGGAGCCCAGCTGAACTCTGGGTAAAACTGGCTTCTAGGTGTTGGCGTAACTTCCCCTTGCAGAGCCTGGACAGCTCCGGGGGCCAGAGGCTGCAGAGGCAGCAGCGACTTAAAAATTTAACCTGCAAGATCACTGTGAGTTCCAGAGGTGGTGAAGCGGTCAGCGCTGAGTCTGGGTTCTTCTTCTTATTATTATCAATTCAATTTACATCTCAGTCATAGGCCCCTCCCTCCTCTCCTCCCAGTCCACCCACCCTCCCATGTCCTCCCTCCTCCTATTTCTTTAGAATAGGGGACCCCCCCATCCAGATACCCTAGCTCATCCATTCACATGAGGACTGAATTCATCTTCCTCCCCTGTGGCCTGCGAGGGCAGTCCCCTCAGGGCGAAGTGATCAGAAAGCCGGTAACCTCGTCCACGTCAGAGATTTCCCACACTCCCCTAACCAGGGCGCCCACGTGAAGCTTAGATGCCCTAAGGGGACCTAGGTCCAGACCACATGTTTTCCTTGGTTGACTCCACAGGCCCCTCCGGGCCCTGGTTGATTGGCTCTGACGGTCCTGTTCCTGCTCTTCCACCATCACCTCTGTCTATTCTGGTTCTCCTTCTGACGGAGCTTTGTGTCCTCTCTTGGGTCCTCCCTGTTACTGATCTTCATGGAGTCTGTACATGGTAGTAGGTCTATCCTGTAGTATATGACTAAAATTCACCTGTAAGTGAGTACATACTGTGTGTGTCTTTCTCAGGATGATCTTCTCTGGTTCCATCCATTTGCCAGCAAATGTCATGATTTCTTTGTTTTTAATGGCTGAGTAGTATTCCACTGTGTAAATGTACCACAGTTTCTTTTTCCATTCTTTGACTGAGGGACATCTGGGCTATTTCCAGTTTCTGGCTATTACGAACTGCTATGAACATGGTTGAGCAAATGACCTTGTTGTGTAGTGAGCATCTTTTGGATGTATACCCAGGAGTTGTTTAGCTGGGTCCTGAGGTATGGCTATTCCCAGTTTTTCTGAGAAAGCAGCACATTGGTTTTCAAAGTGGTTGTACAAGTTTACACTCCCATTAGCAAGGAAGGAGGTTCCCTTTTCTCCACATCCTCTCCAACATGTGTTGTCACTTGAGTTTTTTATCTTAGCCCTTCTGATAGGAGTGAGATAGAATCTCGGAGTCGTTTTGATTTGCATTTCCCTGATGATTATGGAAGATGAGCATTTCTTTAAGTGTTTCTCTGCCATTCGATATTCCTCTATTGAGAATTCTCTGTTTAGCTCTATACCCCATTTTTAATTGGATTATTTGGTTTGTTGGCATTTAATTTCTTGAGTTCTTTATATATTCTGGATATCAGCCCTCTGTGAGATATAGGGTTGGTAAAGATCCTTTCCCAGCCTGTAGGCTGTTGTTTTGTTCTGACAACAGTGTCCTTCGCTTTACAGAAGCTTTTCAGTTTCATGAGGTCCCATTTATTGATTGTTGATCTTAGAGCCTGTGCTCTTGGTGTTCTGTTCAGGAAGTTGTCTCCTGTGCTAATGAGTTCCAGGCTCTTCCCTACTTTTTCCTCTAGCAGATTTAGTTTGGGTTCTTAAGGTATCCATCTACAAGCAATGCCTTGTAGACATTTTCAGAGAGAGAGAGAATTTTCTGTGTGAGGATTAATAGTTAAACAGTAACTTTTCCTCCTTCACACCCTCATGAGGGATCCTCAAGAGATGCTTAACTTGTGATTCCTCTTTACTCTGAGGCAAAGAACGATTCCCCCGAGCCTCATCTAGCGTCCCTGTGGTCAGCGTGATCCGTGTAGCCATCCTTCTCCCAGTTCCACCTTCCAGTCCCAGGTACATCCCACCAGCTTGGCTTTCCCTTGGGGGCCTCCCGAGGTGGCTGACATCCAGAAGAGCTGAGTGTGCAAGTAGGAAGCTGTATTCACTTTAGCGGAAGGAGTCCCCCACCTGGTTAGCCATGGAACGTCAGGACGTAGCAGAAGGAACACAGCAGCCATGCCTAGGACCAGCTCGAGGCAGGCTGACACTGTGATTGTTTAAACCCGTGTTTTTTAAATATTTGCTCAATATTTACTTAGATGAAAGGCCCAGTTCTCTAAATAAATAAATGGATGTCTTAGTGGGAGGAAAGGCCCCAGGGCAGGTAGCTGCAGCCTCCCCTAGTCTCTAGAGAATACATTTCTGGCAAGAATTTGCACCACCTCCTGGCAGAACAAAAGCCTCACGAGTAATGTCGCCCATCTGCCAGACAAGCCCTGCTCTGCAGGCAACGGTCTCACCCCTGACTCCAGGTGCCTTCAAATGCCACACTTCCTCCCTGGCCCTTCCCTGCCCCATGGAGGTGGCTACAGGACAAGGGTATCCCACCTCTCCCTACTGGTTTGGACCACCCAGCTGGCTCACCTGCCTAAAAGATATGGCTTCTTTCCAAGTGTGCCGGGAGGCCCCGTGCTAGGCTGTTCTCTTAGCGGATGGTTCTGGCCCCAGGCTGGGCTGTTCTCATAGTGGAAGGCCTGTAGCGGAAGGTTCTGGCCCTGCCCTCTCCCACCGAGCTTCACAACACATCTGGTGACCTAGAACAGAAGAATGCTTTGGGTCTCAGCGGCTCTATCCTGGCTTCCTCTCTTGACACTCCCGCCCCATCTTCCCAGACAGCCCTCCAGCCTTTACAGAATGCCACCCCAAAGCTTTCCCGTCCCCAAAGCTTGCTGAATTTTTCCACGGCCTCCCCCATCACCTCCACGACAACTTGAGCCGCACGCAGACTGGCTTTTGGAAGCGTAGTGCTGCGTTCTTCCTTTGCGCTCCACACCGTTAGCCCACAGCTGCTGCTCTGCCCCTTCAAACAGGCCGCAGGGGGCAGAAGGAAAGGCGGCGTGGCGGAGAGAGCGTGTTCACAGAAGCTTCTAGCTCTTGGCCACTCTGGGCTGAGAGCTCCAAAGTCAACAAGAAGAGCTGCTTCCAGCCCTCACTGCCTGAGAGCACACAGTCTGCGGTGTGTATGTTTGTGTATGTGTGTGCTCGAGGGTGTGTGTGAGAGACAGAGAGCATGTGTATGTGAGTGTGTGTGTATGTGTGAGTGCACACATGTGTATATGGTTGTGTTTTGTGTGTGCGGGTATGTGTGGGTACATGTCTGCGTGTGTGAGTGTGTGTATGCATGTGTGTGTGTGTGCGGGTATGTGTGGGTACATGTCTGCGTGTGTATGTGTGTGTGTGTGTGTGTGTGTATATATGTGTGCGCGCTCGTGCATGTGTGTGTGTGACGGGGCGTCTCACAGGCTGAGCAGGTGCTCCGCACCTCCTAGTTCCAGTTTCTTCTCCTTACGTTTAGCTCACTTTGTTTTTGCTGTGGGAGTTTCAGATGCTTTCTCGGTGTTTACCCCACCTGTCGGCGGTCCCAGCGGCCGAGCTGCTGTTCTAAGGAGAATCCAGGCTTTTCATTCTGCTCTAGAGCCTGCGTCACTCACCCAAGGAGCCACACATACCCGACAGGGGAAAGCAGGTTCTGAGAGCCAACGCTCAGTGTTAACACTGGCTGGGGCTCAGAGTTAACCTACCAGATCCCCTTTTCCACTTAGCTTGTCTTTGATAAGCCACGAGTAATCTGAGCAGGGTGGGCAGCATGTGCTTACATTCTTCCGTCCAAATCTAGGGCCAGCCTTTTCTGGTCATTGTCCCGGATCTCTGCACACCTCCAGCTGGCCAGCGAAATTTGAGTGGCATGGCAACTGTGTGGATAAAAGGCAGCACCCGTTCTCCACCGTGCCACACAGCCTTACCATTCACCTTCTAAGCTCACGCCTAATGAGGTGTCAGGTAGGCCATAACACAGAAAAGCAATGCACCAGGAAACGTTTTAAGTCTTTTGTCTTTGAAGGGTAGCACACCCAGAACTTGGCTTTCAGGCTGCCCTTTGGAGCCTGAAATTGTGGATCACAGCACCATCCAGTGGTCATCAGTGGTTTAATGGCTGGAACCAAAGAAGAAGGAAAAACACACATTTAAATGTCCTTCACCTTCCTTCCATCCATTTCCCTCTGTTTAACATTTTTTTAATTGAGACCTATCTGCAACAGATGGCATGGCGTTCTTCAGATGTCATCAACCTCTCTTTAGGGTTTTTACTAATTCTTTGGTAACGTCATACAAACTGTTTTGATTCTGTTTCTCTTCCTCCCCTTCCTTCCCTTCCTCCCCTTCCTCCCCTTTCCTTCCCTTTCTCCTCTTTTGAGACAGAGTCTTTCTCTGTTCCGGCGTGCTCTGATGCTGCCAGGCTGTAGTGAGCTAGCTACACACACACACACACACACACACACACACCACCACCACCACCACCACCACCACCACCACCACCACCACATACAGATGCTCTGCAGGTCCTGGTGATCTAACTCGGGCATTTGGGCTTGTGAGGAACTCCCTACTGAAGCAGCAATAGACCAGCTGAAGCCGAGATTGTCAGGGGCGCCGGTTCAGCCAAATGCCACCATCGCCTCGAGAATTCCCACCCACACAGCGTCCTTGGAAATGGACTCGGGAAGGATGTGACAGGTGTATGAGTCACAGGGTGCCCAGCAATGTAGCTTGACACGCACAACTCTGTGAGCCAAGGGCTTTGGATATGTCTCTTTGGGATCCTCTTGTTGGCTGAGTGTGAACGCTGTCCCCCTCGGGACTGAGTCCTGCACTCAGGTGTGGCCTGGCTGTTCCCTGCCTTCGCGTAGCAGTGCAGT